AGACCATGGGACTGGAAATGACTTTTTCACCACTTAAAACACTGACAAGAATACCAGGAATCAGGCGGTATTAAACAGCCGCTCTGGCCGGGGCGGGAGGGGGGGCGCAAGGTAAGAGCTGTATGTGTGTCTCCTCACGGAGCCTGGCTCTGCCCTGCCCGCAGCCACCGCCACCGGCCCTGCCCGGCCCCGGCACGACGAGGGCAGCCGGGACAGAGCCCGCGGGGTCCCTCATTCAGCACCCCGCTGCCGGGCAGCTGTCCCCGCGCTCCCGCCGGCCCGCAGGCAGAGGGCAGCCGTGCCGTGCCGTGCCGTGCCGTGCCGTGCCGTGCCGTGCCGTGCCGTGCCGTGCCGTGCCGTGCCGTGCCGCCGGGGAGCGCTCCCGGAGCCGAGGGCTCTGCCACCCTCCGAGCCCGGCCAGGGCTTCAAAGGACCTTTGCGGCCTGCGCAAAGGACCGGAGAGGACGAGAAAGCGGCGGTGGCAAACATCCCCGGGAGCTGGCACTGCCCCGGGGGCTGGAGCAGCAGCGGGCGCTGGGAGTCCGCTCAGCCTGGGGGACCGAACCCGGTCCTTCCCCGGCAGAGGCAGGCTGCTTCCACGCCCGCTCCGAGCGGGGAGAAAACACTCCTCACTCTTCTGCTTTCATCTCTCGCCAGCGTTGCATAAACCCGGGGCCGCTCTGAAAGGGCAGCGGCGGCGGCTCGGCGGCCCTGAGCCCCCCTTCCCTGGCTCTGGCCCCCGAGCAGCCCCGCGGCGGGCGGCGGCCCCGGTACCGGAGAAGGCTCCGCGCCAAGGTGCTGTCCCGGCGAGCGCGTCCCGCTCCGTGCGCATTCCTCCAGCCGTCATTTATATAACGGGGAAAGACCTTACACAACGCGCAAAGCCTGCGCTTGCCAAGCCTGCGGCGCTCGGCCGCTTGATTTTGTGGGGGGCCGATGGGGCTGGGCGGCGGCGCGGCCCGGGACAGGTGGGAGCCCCGGAGGAGGTGACGGCGCGGGGCCAGGGAACGCTGAGCCACCGCGGGCACCCCTTGGTCCTGCGGTGGTGTTCGTGCCCACGGAGCTGGCTGCAGAGCGGTCTGTACAGATCCTGCTCCGCCTCAGCCCCTGCCGTCCCAAGTGCCACCGCCCGGGTGCGGCCCGGTGCTGCGCATCACCCGGGCTGCCCAGCGGGCCCGCGGGGAGGCAGAGCCCCCACGGGGCACTCGGTCCCTGCGTGCCCGGGTTCTCGATGAAGCGCAGCGCGGTTCGTGGCAGCCCCCCAGGGGCCGTACCCGCTGCCGAGACAAGCACCAGCACGGGGAGATGATGGCCAGCCCCTCCCCAGGCCGGCGGCACGGAACGGGACCCCCGGCCGTGGGGGTTGCAGAGGCCGGGGTGATGCCGGCAGGACCAGCCCTGCCTCGGGCTGCCGCCCGACAGTGCCCGGCGAGCGCAGCCAGCGACGGCGGCCAGGCCCTCCCTGCGATTTCCCCGCGAGTTTACATTCAGTGCAGTCTCTGTAAAATACACAAAACGATCGTGAAAACATCCTACAGGCGCGACGGCCACGGCCGCCCGGGAGCGGCGCGGGGAGCTCGGGCCGGAGGAAGCAGAGCCCCGGCCGGGCACGGGGAGCTCGGGCCGGAGGAAGCAGAGCCCCGGCCGGGCGCGGGGAGCTCGGGCCGGAGGAAGCAGAGCCCCGGCCGGGCGCGGGGAGCTCGGGNCGGGGAGCTCGGGCCGGAGGAAGCAGAGCCCCGGCCGGGCGCGGGGAGCTCGGGCCGGAGGAAGCAGAGCCCCGGCCGGGCGCGGGGAGCTCGGGCCGGAGGAAGCAGAGCCCCGGCCGGGCACGGGGAGCCCGGCAGACGCACAGGCCGCTGGCCTGGCAGAAGAGTGGCCGCACGGCCCTGCCGGCCCGCTTCTCTCCCAGCCGCGCGGCTCCCTGCTTCTCTCTATGGGCTCAAGCGGCCGCTGGTCAAGCACAGCGGGACCTGGGTGGAGACCACTCAGGAATTGGAATAGCCCAGGGGCCGCACGACCCTGCCCGGTCCCGGCTGCCGCCTCTCCCCCTGCACTTGGCACGGTGAGGTATCGCTTCACTCTGAGCTGGCAAGCCCCAGCCGTTCCCGGGAGAGTGCCAGCAGTGCTGCAGCCTTTGCTTCAGGCCGAACGGCGGCACAGCCCAGGAAGGAGCCCAGGAGGCGCCGCTGGGCTGTGCGGGGGTCCGGGGAGGTGCTCCCACCCTCCCTTCGTCCCGTGCCCACCTCCGCTGGCGGGGGCTTCCCTTTCGGCCTCAACATACCCCGGGGGAAAGCAGCGGTATTGGCAGCATCTATCTAGTAAGAATCAAGCAGCCAAGGCCCTGAGCCCTGCGGTGCAAAGCTGCGATCCTCGGTGCGTGTGAGCGGTGCTGCCTCTCTCTCTCCTCCGCCTCCCGCTCCCACGCGAGGGCCCGGGCAGGTCAGACGTAGAGGAGCCGCTGCCGCAGAACCACCGCTGGTATGAGACCTGGCCGCGTCCCGTGTGCGCTGGCATCCCCGCTTCGGCCTTCGGCCTCCTGTTGAGTCGGTGTTCGTGCGGAGGCCAGGCTCTGTCCCTGCCCCCTGTACCGGGGCAGCCGCTCGGCCCGCGGCTCCCGTGCCCAGCGCGGAGCGGCGGCGGCACGGCCGGGCAGCGACCCCGCTGTCTGCACCCCTGTGCCTCTCTGTCCGCCCGGAGCGGAGCCCCTCGGCCGCATCAACGCTCGCAGCATCCTCCCCGCCTGGGGCACGGGGCCGGGGGGTACCGCAGGGTCCGGGATGGGCCGGCGGGTTCCGCAGAGCCCCCGTGCCCTGGCCGTGCCCACCGAGCGGCAGAGAGGCGGCCAGGCCCCGCGTCTCGCACAGCATCTGTGACCGGGCTGCAGGCTGCCGCTGCCTGCCGTGCAGGCCAGCCGGCCCTGGCAGAAAGGGAGAGCGTCAGGCAGCCGGGCAAGGAAGTGCCGGGCCCCCGGCTGCGGAGCGGAGCGCTCAGCCCCGTTACCGGGTTTCGCCCCCGGCAGCGCTGGCCGGGCAGCGGTCCGGGAGCGAACGCCGCATCCCCGCTGCCGCGGCGGCAGCGCAGGCCCGGCCCGGGCCGGAGTCGGAGCTGTGCGAGCCAGGCCCGCGCCGGGCGGGGGCCGCCCGCCTGCCGTCCCCGCTGGCCCCCGGGCCCCGGCAAGGGCCGCTGCCCGCGGGGACGGGCAGAGTTAGAAGCGAGGCCCGGCGAGGAAAGAGAGCCCTGCCTGCGGCTCCCGCATGGCGCTCGGGCCCCGCTGCAGCGTGGCCGGGCTTGGGGCCGCACGGGACCGTTCTTTTCCCTCCAGGACCACGGCTCCGAGCACGGGAGGAAGAAATGAAAGCGAAGCCAAGGTCCGGCACGGCCCTGGCACAGTCTCGGGCCTCTGCCGCCGGCGCTCCGGCCGGGCACACGGGCGAGGTGCCGGAGCTGCCCGCGGCCCGCAGCGGAGGCGCTCCCGGCCCGCCCGCCCCGCACACCGCGGGACCAACGCGGCGGCCCCGCACCTTGTCGGCCGCCGCCGAGGCAGCCCCGGGGCCTGGCGGAGATGATGGAGCGCCCAGCACGGGCCCCGCAGCCGAGCCCCGTGCGCCGCAGCGGGGAGCGGGGCGGCCGCGGGCCGGGAGCGCTGCCCGCCGCCCGGAGCGGCCCCGGCACGGCGCCCGCCGCGCTCCCGCTGCCGCGTCCCGATCCCGAGCGCGGAGGAGCGGAGTGAAATAAAACGATATGGAAAGAAGGAAAGGCATTTTATTGGAGACTTTACAATGCTAGAAAGTACAATGAAAGTGCTAGTTCATTCTAGAAAAGTTGGTCCCAAAATGGTACTATGCCACAGCATCTATCGGTTTACACAAACATTTACAAAATCGTTATGAACTGGCCCCTGTTTTAAAATCGCTATTTTTTTTTCACATTAATCTATGTAAAATTGAAGGATCAAAAACTTTTAAGAAAAAGAGTAAGCATTCAAAAGCAGAACCTACCGGGAAATCAATTTTGGGCCAGGTAGAGGGCAAAAAACTGAAGATAGTTTAAACTTTCATTATTAATAATAATATACACATGGAAAAATATCCCAATTTACAGGAAAGCGTCTCTTTTTTTTTTTTTTATAACATCAAAATATTTTTTTAGACCTGTATAAAATTACTTTTAAGACCTCAGAGGACATTGTCTCCTTTAAAAAATATATTTACCGCTGCCGAAACGTTTCACAAGTGACCCTGGTGGGTTTTGTTTGTTGGTTTCTATTAACCAGCAATATCACACATCTGCTGTTACAGCAGTCCCCACGTTAATTACTATTTGAACGAAAAGCCACAGCTCGGAAGAAGCGCAGTGCTTTGCAGAGCGAGGAAGAAGACAGGGGATGAAGAGAAGGACGAGGACGAGCACCGCGGGCACACGGTAGTGTCTAGGCCCCGCCAGCCCCGCACCGCACGCGTGAAAATGCCTCCGCTATTTACAAACTCCACTTTACTCTCCTCATGGGTGAGCCCGAAAAGATTACGGCTGAACAACCAATTCTTAAAAAGATGCTCCCCCCTCCCTCCCCCAAAAAAAAAAAAAAAAAAAAAAAAAAAAAAAAAAAAAGAAGAAGAAAAAAAAAGAGAAACAAAACCCAAACAAACCCAAACCGAAAAACCCCACCAAACCCAACTCACAAACACACACACGAGCAGAGAAACTCCCGGTGAATCCCCGCTCGCCCAGAGAGAGGCGGCCCGGCCGCCGCTGCCCGGCGCAGCCCCGCGGGGAACCCCCACACTTACACTGCCTTCTTCTCGTGGAGGGACGGCTCCTACACTGACACTACGCGCGGGGCAAAGCTGCTATTTCCCCACCGCGAGAGTTTGGGCACAGAGAGAGGGAAGTCCGTGGCTAGAGACGAGGAGGAGAGACACGGAGCGCAGGGGAACGCGGCGGGGTAGGAGAGGGGCAGCGGGGCCGGTGCATTTCTGTGACGGCGGCGGGCCGGAGCCTCCCTAGATGTCTATGCGGGAGTGCAGGGCGCTGTGTTTGCTATCGTGCTCCCAGTAAGAACAGTGCATCATGGACAGCTCGGCGGGCTGGCGGGCGCAGGCAAACTGGAGGCCGGCTCCGTTTGCCGCCGGGGCCGCGGGCGGCGCGGGGCTGGCCGGGCTGAGCTGCTGGGGGTGGTGGGCGTGCGGGTGGTGGTGGTGGTGGTGGCCCATGCCGTTGTAGGAGTTCACCATGCTGGGCAGCGCCATGCTCTGCACCCGCGAGTAGGGGCTGTAGGACGCCGGGCCCGAGAGTCCTTTCACATTGACGGGGCTGACGTTCCCACCAGACATCTGGCAGGACGTGTAGGGCATGGGCGCGGGGGGCTGCGCCAGCGGCCACGAGTTGTTCATGAAGGTGGACTGCAAGTACTTGGGCGGGGACAGGTAGCCGTAGCTGTCGGGGCTGAAGAGGGTCTTGCCCGGCTGGAAGTGGGTCGGAGGCGGCCGGAAAGGCCGTTTCATCCTTCGTCTTCTGCGGTAGTTACCCTTCTCGAACATGTCCTCGCAGGCGGGGTCCAGGGTCCAGTAGTTGCCCTTGCGCTCGCCACCGCCCTCCCGGGGCACCTTGATGAAGCACTCGTTGAGGCTGAGATTGTGGCGGATGCTGTTCTGCCAGCCTTTCTTGTTCTTCTCGTAGAAAGGGAACTTGCTGATGATGTACTGGTAGATCCCGGACAGCGTAAGCCTCTTCTCCGCACTCTCCCGAATGGCCATGGCGATCAGGGCCACGTAGGAATAGGGGGGCTTCTGCGAGGGGTCCGGCTTCTCGGGGCCCTTGTCCGCGCTCAGCTCCTCCTTGCCCCGGTCCGGCTCCTTGCTGCCGCCGGTGTCATGGGCCAGCAGCGCCACCGTGTCCTCCTCGCCGTCCGGGTAGTTGCTCATCATGGTGCCCCGCGCCCGCCCGGGGCGCCCGGCGCCGCGCGGTGCGGAGCGCTGCCCGCTGCACGGAGCCGCCGCTGCCGGCCGTCCCGCTCCGCGCTCGCCGGGACGGGGCCGAAGCTGAAGCCGAAGTCGAAGCCGGGACCCGGACGGAGATCGGGAGGCGCCTCTCGCGGCGCCGCTGGTCCGTGCAGCGCGGCGGCGGCGGCGTCCCTGCCCCCGCGGGCTCCGCTCCCCTCTGCTGCGGCGGCCGGGCTCTTTTCTGATTTGTATGGGCCCGGCCGAGTTCCGCTTTCGTCAGGAGCCCGCTCCCCTATCGCCGCCGAGCCGCTGGGCACGGCCGAGTTCACCCTGCAGTCACGGCGCCGCGCTCAGCCCCGCGCACACGCGGCCCGACGTGGCCCCGCGGAACTGCGCGGAACCGCCCCGGCTCGGCCGAGCCGCCGGGGGCGGGGGGAGGCGGGGGGCGGCCCCGGGGGGCGCTGGGCGAGCCTCCGCCGCCCCCTCCGGAGCCCGCCGGGGCCCGCGGCGCCGCGCTCCCCTCCCGCCGGGCGCGGGGCCGCGCTGCAGCCTGTGGGTGCGAGGGGGTGTGCCCGCAGCGCTCGCCCTGCCACGGCGGCTTGTCACGCTTCCAGCCGCACACGCGGTCGCGTTTATATGTCTTGGCCGCGGGCCCCGCCAACCGATCGCGCCCGAGGAGCACAAGGAGGCTGTTGCCGCTCCCTGCAAGTCGATTCTTGCAGCTCTTATTTGCAGGAGGCAGAAAGCAAAAGGTGTCGGGTCGCCCCTTCTCCCTCCCCTCAGAGTACACGCAGACCCCCAACGCGGCTGCGGGGCTGACAGGCGCCTCGAGGGCCGGGGCAGGGTGGCGAGACGGGGGATGACACTGGGCAGCTTTCCTGCTCCTTCCCCTGGAGGGCTTCGGCTTATTTCACACGGTTCCAGGAGTAGCGTATGTGGCACCGACATTCCCTTCTCCTTCCCCTTTCCTGCCTTCAGCCTCCCCGAGCAGCAGACAGGCAGTGTCAGCTGGCTTTAACAAACCAACGTCCCGGGGCTCAGCCCCGGTACAGCAGCGGGACACTCCACACTGGTTTCTAACGGGCTCTCCAGTCCCTGTCCGGGAGCGGGGCAGACCGGCTCCGTTTGTTCCCCGAGCCTTTCCACCAGCCAAGGCACCCGCCGGCAGCCGCAGGAGCCGGGCCGAGCTCCGCAGGGCCGGGACCACCTGCGCTCGCCGGCCGCGCCTCGCTGGGCCCCGGGGCGCTGCAGCAGCTCGCTGCTGCCGGCACGGCTCCGCAGGACCCGAACTCACCGCCCGTGCTCAACACACCTCGGGCTGCCCGAAGCGGCCCTGGGAGCAGCCGCACGCTCACCTCGGCGCCCGCAGCTCTGCCCGTCGGCAGCTCATGGCCCTCAGACTCGCTCCTGCCTTTCCTGCACGTGAACCGCCTTTCACGATGTGCCCTGTCCCGATGATTTTAACTGCGACATCAATTTTCCTGACCAAGAGTGAGCCCGGGGGGCTGGCATCTTCCAGACGTGTATGCCCGGGCAGCCGGCCTCTCCCCTCGGGGCGCCCAGGGCTTCGGTGGCCCATGAGCAGATTTCTAATTCCTCTGCCCGGCCATGGGTCCCTGCTCCCGGGACAAGCTAATTGCGGGTAAAGGCAGTCGAAGATGTAGAAACGTATTTTAACTAATAAATAAATTAGCTCTTCGAGGAACTATTAGATTTATATATATATATATATACATACATACATATATATAAAATTATATATATATGTGTATATATATATAAAATTATATATTTCTATTTATCTCAGTTAGAACACGTTTCTGCATCTTCGCCTAGAGCCGTATAACCAGTCCCTTACCTCCCGTCGGCGGAGGAACGTGTGCCCCAAAACCGGGCTGCACGACTTCGATCGCAGAAAGGAGGCCCGTCTATTTCCGCACCCCGCCGCGGAGCAGCGCACGCCAGCCCCGGGCACCCTCGTAACGCGCACAAACGAAACGGCGAAGGGATGAGGCCCACAGGAGAGACCCTCTCCAGGGTTCCCCTCCCCGGGCAGCCCCCGGCGGCTCCCCGGCGGCTCGCTCCGCTCAGGGCGACGCAGCAGCCGGAGCCAGCTGTGCCCCCCCCCGTCGGGGCCGGGGCTGCTGGGCTCCCCAGGGCCGGGGCGAGCTTCTTTCTGCCGGCCACCCATGCCGCTCCCGGCGCTCCCCCTCGCAGGCATTTCCGCGGCGAGGGCCGGTGCAGGTGTAGCAGCGCTGCCGCGTGTGTCATCACCTCCGCCAAATGGCACATTCCTCCCTTCTCACTCCTAAGCCGGGCGCGGAGCTCCTTGGCAGGGCTCGCTCGCTCGCAAAGGACATTTGACATCCGAGGGTCTTGTTTGGGTTTTTTTGACAGCCCCACCAAGGGGGATTTCGGATGAACACCAGGGCAGAAGCTCAGCCCAGCGCTGGGAGCGGCGGTCGGGCCGAGCAGCAAAGGTGAGCGCGCAGCCCCGTGTGCGGCTACTTGAACGTTTGACACAAGGGCAGGCAGGGGCTGTCGGGCTCTCCCCTCTCCCCTCTCCCCTCTCCTAATTAAGCCCTTTTTGGGACATGAAACAACTACCTGCAAAGGCAGGAACACGCCCCTGGCAGCTGCACGCCGTAGCTGCGGTTAAGCGGAGAGCTGAGGGCTTCTCGGCAGCCACACAAACACCGCAGCGAGGGGAATGCAAGTAACGGGGACGGGCAGCGAGCAGAGGAGCGCGGAGAGTCCTTTCGGGAGAAGGACCGGGATCCCAGCACGGCCCCGGGAGCAGCCCGATCCGCCGGTGCCCCCGGCTGAGCCCGCGCCCCTCCCGCCGCCGCTCCCTCGGCCGGGCAGCGGCCGGACAAACCGGGACAAGGCGGGAGCAGAAGGAGCCGGCGGAGCCGCTCCCGGGCCGGTCCTCCAGCCGCTCGCCGGGGTAGGGGAAACAGGCGGGGAATTAGCAATGGAGGGGGCTCACGGCGCCGTGCCCTTGTCCCGGCCTGCTGCGGCGAGGAACGGGCTCTCGCTTTCTGCACACGAGGGCAGAACAGCCCCGGCCACGGCCCAGCCCCGGTGCAGGGAAGCCGGGATGGAAGCGGGCAGAGAGGGACTTGATCGCGGCCGCGCAACCCCGCTGAAAGAGGGGACCCGAGAGGTGATGCAAACTGGGGCTTCGCCGCTACCGAGCCGGACCGGGTTCCCCTTCCCGAACAGAGCACGGGAGCTCCCGGCGCGGCCCCGGCGCGGTATTCCCGCTGCGCCGCGCTGAGCCCGTTCGCGGTGGGAGCGCCGAGCGGAGCGGGGCACGGCGAGCGGCGGGGTCTGCCGCGGGGACAGGAGGCACGGTGCCACCCCCACATCTGGCCCCGACACTGCGGACGAGAATGCCCACGAAAGCCGTGCCTTCAGCTGAGGCTCTTGCTAAGACTCGAGTAGCCCAAGTGGTTTGGTTTTGTTTTCTACTCACCCTCTGCAGGCAGCAGAGCCTGGAAGGTCTGGCGTTGTTTTGTTTAAAAATGCAGCAGCCTTCCTCTACTAAAGATTGTTGAGGTTTTTGGTAATTTTTCTTTTCTCTTGGCGAGAAAACGTTTCTCCGGCGGGGAGCGCCGGTCCGCCCCTGGCTCGGAGAGCCCCGCTCCCGTTCGGCCAGCGCAGCCCGCCTGCAGGCACCGGGGCAGGGCTCTCGCCTCCCGCACCGATAGCCGGACGGGGACAGGCGACACAGCCCCGTTGTCGGTCCAGCGGCTCTTAGTCCGTTCTGCTTCCCCGGCGCGCCCCGGCTCCCCGGGACCGACTCGCAGCTGGTGCCTCGTCAGGACGCACCTTTCGGGTGCTGGTGTCTCTCGAGCCCGCAGCAAACTGGGGCCGTACCGACATTATCCGCACTCATTCTGTTCACGTAGCAGCGACACGGACACGGATGTAAAAGCGGCCCCGGGCGCGCCTTGTTCCGAGTCCCGTTTCCCCGAGGAACGGGATCCGCGGCAGCGCGGGGCTCCGGGAGCCGGGGAGGGCCGGGAGCACTCGGTCCCCGCTTCGTCCCCCCAGCAGTTCTCCTTCCCTCGGCACACCCCCAAAGCGGCCGGGACAAGGCAGTCACCATGCTGCCGTTTCAATTATTCCTAGTTTATTCCTTTTTATTATTATTATTTTTTAAAAAAGAGATATTTAAAATATTGTTTTTCCAGGTACTACTGATCGTGGAGTATTTTTCCACATAACAAACCCAGAAAAAGTAGGGTCGGTGTTAAACGCGGCGTGCGCGGGTCTGTCTCACACCACGGCTCTCATGAGAATTAACGAAATGTACTGCGGGAAATAAAATATTCTGGCCCCAGTGAAAATTCAGCCGATTGAATCTATTAAAAGGCTGGGACGGAGGCGTTTTCCTGCGGTACCGGAGCGCGGGAGCTCCGCGTCCCCTCGGGCGGAGGGAGCGGAGGAGCCCCGGGACGCGGCTGCTGCAGTGCCCGCAGGCAGCTCGGGCCGGGCCGCAGCCGCCCCGCTTCCTTTCCGGAGCCCGTTCTGCTCCCTTTCTAAACGACACCCACAGGCAGGGCTCGAACCTGGAGGTGCTTTTGTTGACTGCTAAGAATAAAACCTTTGCAACCTCAACACAACCATTATGTGAGACGAAACTGCGTGCCTGTCACTGTCTTGGAAAAGCTTGCATTTTCAAAACCTCGCCTCTCACTTGGCCTGCAAATCACCTCGCTCATCTAGGGACACTACAAACACACACAATCCCACTTTCCCCTCTGTTCAGGATTCCCAGCAGCGCAGTTCCGAACATTTCATAAACGCTTTGTAATTGCATTAATCAGCGTGTGACGCCAAAAGAAGGAAATATTCACCTGGAAAGTGTCTTCTTCTGCATGAATGAGTCTCATTGTCAAAACCTTGAGCCTATATGTTTTGCAGTGGAGAATTTAGTTTCTCATTTACACTGTACAGCTAAAAATTTTGGTAGCTTCA